TTTCATTGTTTTTCCATTTGAACATGAGCTTTCATACTGTGAGCACCTCTGTCTGATCAGTCAACTCAACCAATCTAGTACAAATTATTTCTTTCTTTGAGACCCCTTCCAGACAGAAAAAAATCTTACTTTTTTATTCCCCCAAGTAAGTGTCTCCATTCTTACTGACAGGGTAGCTTTGATCACATTTTGGGAGGGTTGGGGTTGTTTTCATTTTTCTAGTCCTTTTCTAGATGCACTTCTTGAAGGATGGGCTGTTTATTACTACCTTTACGTCCCTTCAAGGTCTCGCTTGGTGCCTGGCACATCCTGAATCAACGCTGGCTAAATGGATTGAGAATCATGTGAAGCAGTTTCTGCTCCAAAATGCAAACTCGTTTTCTCAGGTTGGGCAGGCTCCTTCCGGGTGCCTTGGCCGTCACGACATCAGTATTTATGAGGCTGTCCATCCCGGGTTAGGACTTGCACCTGACTGATAATCTAGAATGACTTTTGATTGGTACTGGCGTATTTCCTCACTGACTCTTGCCAGGGTCATGATGAGGCAGCCTCACCCTTGCCGTCTGGGATGACACATTGGCCTCTGTTGTCATCAGCCTTCCTGTAGTAAATGCCCCACACAGAGAGAAGCTGTCTACAACCTCATTTCCACGTGGGTCCTGGCCAAATAGACCTTTTCTACAAGGACATCAGAGCATGGAATTTCAGGAAATGAGAAAAGCAGGCAAGGATTTAAAAAAAGTATATTTGGAATAAGTAACACATGCACATGGTGCAAAATTCAAGTTATGTACAGTGAAGTCTTTCCTCTCAGCTCTGTATTTCAGCCATCCAGGTCCCCTCCCTGGAGAAATCCACATCTATATGTGACTATATATTTGAATGTCGTTATCCTCCATCTTTACTTCTGGAAGTTTCTCATTTCCTCTGTCACAATGTTCATTTCATCCTGCACCTCCCCACCAGTCTCCAGTATGGAGTTGAGTGCCCTGGACAGCCACCTGGCACTTATAGCATATCCGGAATATAAGAGTATTTGTTGAGTCAGGCTTATAGCATCTTTATTTGATTGTGAATTAGATGCATTTTCATTCACTCATGTTCTTGTTCTTCTAAGATAAGCCAAGCAGTGCTGACTGCCCCACTGGCCTCGCTCCTGCTGCCTTTCTTTCATGAACCTCACTTCCATTTGTACCTCTGCCAGGTCAGGATGGTTTAGAGCTTGCTCACACATTTTTTAGGGCATGGTTGTGCAAGAAATGTCGATATTTTCCGACACTTTTGTGGCCTCTTCAATGGTTTCTTCTTGTCTATTTTGTAAGGAAAAACCCTCACCCTTGCTTCACCAGGGATCTTGGCCCCACTAGGACACACTCACATGCTCTTTAGGGATCTCTCTGTGCTTCTCTTCCAGGAACTGCTGAAAATGAGAAAAAGTATGGAAAAGAGAGTCCTGTCTTCCCTAGCAGGAGTTTTTGTTTTTACTTAGGGTCACTTGTAGGTGTGGTTTTGCAGATTCTCTTTTTCACTGTCCTCTTTCTCTCTCAAGTCAATCTCTACCTGGCAGGTCTGGAGGGTCTGCCAGCTTCTCCTCCACTTCCTGTACATACTGGGGCCCTGACTTCTCAGAGCTCAGGGGCCTTGGTGCAGTCTCCCTGTGGCTTCCTCTCCCTTCTAGGTGCTTGGCCAGCAGTCAGTCAAGTGGCAGCCCCCACAGTCCTCTGGGGGGCCAGGAGCCAGTGATTAAGTAGCCAGGCCTTTAGCTGACTCCATCCTTGTTTGTCATGACTCCGCTACAAGTTATTTTGGTCTCTGGGACTTGTGGCTGCACCATGATTAGGATTTGATTACTATCACCAAAGTGACTAAAAGATGAAAATAGAAGCCACAACAGGAAATAAACAACTGCAAATGAGATATTTTATTCCATCTTCCCTGCCAGCAAATGATTAGAATCAAACTCATTCACAATAGTTTGGTGAACTCCTAAACTTTTTTTTTTTAAAGGATCAGAATAGTTTAAAATGGGGTACTCGTCAGCCTCATTTATGCCTGTGGAAAAAGGAAAGGAACTCCTTTCTAGGCATATCAGCCAGCCAGGCATTCCTCTACAGCCCAGCTTCTTTCTTGGAAAGGAAAGAAGTAAGAATGCAGTGGGGTGGGGTTGGCTCTCAGGAAGGCTTGGGACTTTTAACTGATTCAGGGGATGCCAGGGAGCCATAAAGCAGCACCAAGCATTGTAGCTACTTGCCCAGCATCCCACCCATCATCTACCTAGGGTAGTAAAATGAAGGGGGAAAGCCATGTAGAGAGGGCAAGATAGGGGTGACGCCTGAATTAAAACACCCACAATTACATTAGATGGGAACATATCTCTGCAAGTGTATGCATGTCCATCAGACAAGCTGTGACGTCACATTCAACTCCTGAAATCCCTACTGAACCTACCTGCTGTGTGTGTGCTCGGGCCTCTCCTCAGTGTCAGTACCACTGGCCAGATTCCCAAATGTCTTCAGATTCTCCATTTAGCCAGGAAGCTTAATTGGAATTATGACATTTCCTTTCTCTGTTTATGTATGTCCTTCCGGTCACTTTGCAGCCTGGCCTAGCCACTCTTGAAAATCGAAGCTCTTCTAGTGAGGCCAAGAGCAGAGAGAAGGAACTGGACCCTGAGGGTGCAAACTTACCCAGAAAGCTTTTCAATCCCTGCCAGGTGCTCACCTGCAGTGAGGGGAACCACTAGGGCAAGTTACTTAACCAGTGAGGGGCAGATCCCCAGCTAGAAATCAGATTTTCTGATTTTTATGTTGGTTTTCTTACTAAGCCTTTCTAAGGTGAGTATAATATATATTTTCCAGACACCTCAAAAATTCCATTTGTTTCTTCTGTCTTTTCCTGCCTATTGTAATGGGATCATCCAGCTTCAAATATTTTCTCCTGGGCTTTTTTGGCTGCTGTCTTTAAAAAGTTACACACACACACACACACACACACAGATTTCAATCCCCTTTTCCATAAGAAACATTTTTATTTCTAACAAAATTATGGTCTTATAGAGTTGCAGCTTATGTGGCCTTCCAAAATAAATGTTTAGAATGCCAGCTTCACTCTAGTCTTCTAGGGGCATAAAATTCAGGGTCCCCTTGCCTGCAGATGATCATGTAATCAGGGTTAATGGTTTTTCTCTCACATATCTCCAAAGGTGCTTTTGATGGGTTTGGGGGGAGTGATCCAAATGCCCCTTTAAGTCCTACTCAACTCTATTGATTCCTAAAAATATATTGAGCATCTTTTGCATGTCAGGCACCTTTTAAAATCCTGGAGGGGAGGGAGCTAAGCTAAGATTCATGTGTGCCTTTTCCTATTAAGAACGTACAATTTAGCCGGAAATACGGAAACAGTACATTTCATCTTTTCTGAAGAGTGGTGAAAATCGCCAGTGCGCTTCATTGTCGTCCTGATCTCACAATTCTAAATGACTTAAAAATCTATTTCACTAAATAAGATCTGAGGTTAGATCACCATGCCAACTAGTGGCCTCGTCAATACTGATTCATATATATATTTAAATCATCACGTTTCTCAGTACCATCGGCTTTCACGAGGTGAACGCATTCTGTCTGGTCCTTTGCTCTACCAATGCTTTACCCATTTCCATTGGGTGATCTGCCAGCTAGGTCTATGCTTCTCCCGAACCTGGGGCCAGGGTTTAAACTCTGTAGACCCTAAGCACCTTGAAAGGTACGAGACCGAGTGGGGCGCAGAAACAGAGCCCGCAAGCATATGCACGTCCTAAGCAGGTCTGCTCAGAAGGTAACCTTCCCGCTCCGGGAGGCGGGGTGGCGAAGGTCTTCCGGGCTCGGGAGGAAACCTGCCCGAGGCGGGCGGGCGAACCCCCCCCCCGCCTCCTTCTCCCACCAGGATGCTGCCCCTCGCTGCTCGTCAGCCGGCCAAATGCATTCCAGAGCTGTGCACTGGACACACTTCTCCCGGCAGTCCTAGAAACCCGAGCCCAGAGCGGGAGAGGGCGGGAGGCAGCGCGCGCCCGCCGCTGAGGTCACATTCGCGCCGCCTCCCCGCCCTCGGCGGCCCGGCTGTTCCCTCCAGCGCACACTTCCCAGGGCCTCGGTCCAGTCCGGTGTAAATGACTTTTAAACGGAGACTGTGCTCGCCTCCCCCTCCCTCCCGCGCGGCCAAGGGATCAGCCGCCAGGGCCTTTAAAACAAAACGATTGAATGAAGCGCTAGGGCGAGCGCGCGCGGGACAACGACTGCGAAGCTCAGCGGGCTGGGTCTAAATAGGGCCACCGACCGGCTGGTTCCTTTCCAAAACTCGTCCGCGAAGCCCGCTCAGTGCTCTTGGGTCTTCCCATTTCTCTTCTGATCCTGCCAGGTCTCAGTCGATCCTGGGAGCTTCTCTGCTTCCCACCTTTATTCGCCCCCCCCCCACCCATAATCCCGCCGCCTTGCAGACCGGGGAGGGGGTGGTAGTGTCGAGGGGGTGGGCGGGGGGAGAAATAGCTTTTAGAAACCCGATCTGTTGTTTGCGAAACACAATCGCTTTTTTTTTTTTTT